CTGCTCGCATCTATACAAAGTGCTGGCGTGCACATGTTGCGAAAGACAGACCCGAACGCAACACCCGCGCGTCCGACATCGCCCCCCGCGGAGGAGAGCGCTTCCTCGAGCGGGGGCGGTGGAGGCGGCGGCGACCTGACGGCCGCGCTGGCAGCCGCGCTCCTGGAGCGGAACAAGAAATTGGGTGACAGCGATGAGGAAGAAGATGACGATGACGATTGGGATTGACCGTAGTCGTTGACGACTGGATCGGCTATGTATGGTCGAGTACATGGGGATGGCTTGTACACATTGCTGCTATTCTTTCTGCACTAATTTACATTGTTTGGTTCCTTCCTTCTCTCGTCGGAGTGTGTACCAGATGATGAGCAATATTGGCAGCCCATTACCAAGATAATTAGGCGAGAGGTGGGTCTCATTGCTGTCTTCATAACGCTGTGACACTGGACGCTGACGAGCATCTTCATAGCTTCATAGCTCCATTGGTTGTCCGACGGTTGCTTCAATGAATCAATACGACGTGAATACAGATGTTGGACCCCGGGCCGAGTGCAATAATCAGGTTCATCTTTGCTATGTACATACGAGGGTCTCATTCTCACACGGTATGGTCTCCCGAGAATGACACGACGCTTCCTCAGTGGTAGGCGTGCGTCCAGATGTCCATATGTGCTGATATCGTCACGGAAGAAGATGTGGACTCGCCAGCGGCGTTTTGTCATCACGTTCTGCCTGTAACATTGTAACATGACCATGCTTCCTGACCGCATCCCACGCCTTATATACGGCTGTAGTGCAAGTGGGCAGACTAGGTCTTGTTCGCAGCTCACGACGATTTCAGACCACATCATCTATGACTGCGTTCACTAACATGGACGTTTTGTCCCGCGAGTCGGCTTTGCTCGCTGGCATCGCCATCTTCACGCTCTATTTGCTGCATTCTGTTCGGGCGCGACGCAAAGGTGGGCTGCCCCCTGGCCCACCGGGTATTCCCATCCTCGGGAATCTGCTCCAGCTCAACCCTCTACGCCCGCATCCTACTGTGAGTGCACATCTTTAGCTGTGCCCGCAGCAGTGACATACTGAATATGCGCGTAGTACCTGAAATGGGCGCAGAAGTATGGCCCGATCTTCTCCATCAAGCTCGGCATGCAGCGCGTCATTGTGCTGAACACAGCCGAGGTCGCGGATGAGCTGCTTGTGACGCGCAGCAAGCTGTATTCGAGCCGCCCAGACCTGCATGTTGCGAGTGACCTCGTGAGTGATGGACAGAGGATGGTGTTGATGGCGAACAACAGGGAGCTGAAGGTTCTGTGATTCGCGTTGGTTGAGTGTCTCTGATTAATAGACTGACGTTTTCGTATTTGTATTGTTCAGATTGCAAGGCGAACACTACAAGGAATACTCTCGCCTGGGCCGTCGAAGAAGATGCGCAACATGCAGGATCTCGAGTCGCGCGTTCTGCTGCGCGACCTGGTTGTCCACGGCGATAGCAGTTTAACCGAGACATTCACTGAGGGCCCACATGGCGAGGTACCTGAGCGGCACTGGTTCTCGGTGTTCAGACGATACGTGAGTGCCTCATACCAGTGACACAGACCTGTGGTCTTGACCTCGTGTTGGCGTCTAGACCACGAGCATTGTGATGTCGCTTTCGTACGGCCAGCGAATGAACCGCTTCCTCGATAATCCAGACCTGTGCGTTGACTCCTTGCTCTTGCTGACTTATTGAAGTTACGGACTGTTATGATGGCAGGCACAAGGTGTACGAGGCCATGTCTGTATTCATGCACGCTTCCGAGCCGGGAAATTACCTGTTCGTGCAGTCACATTTGTGGTGGGAACACCCTGCCTAACAATGTTTGTACAACAGTGCGGATGTATTCCCAATCTTGCGACGGCTGCCTGACATACTGGCCCCGTGGCGCAAGGAAGGGCGTCGGATGCACGAGTGGCAAGTTGATCACTTAGATTCGCGTATGTTCTCGATCACTGACGACAGCGAGCAGGGAGATGGGGCTCTGGGGAAAGCTACTGGATGAGTGCAGCTCTGACATAGCGAAGGGCATCGCACGCACAGGATTCGTATCCGACTATCTACGCGCGCGCGCAGAGGCCGGGCTCGGTGACCTGCCAGGAAACGGTGCTACAGACGACGGCGTTGGATGGATGCGCGACAAATTCCTTGCATATACGGCTGCCTCGGTGCTCGAAGCAGGCTCAGACTCGAGCTCGACGGTGATGTTCTCGTTCATCCTGTTCATGCTCAGCAATCCAGACGCATTGCAACGCGCTCGCGAAGAGATGGACAGGGTGATAGGACCAGATCGGATGCCTGGCTGGGAGGACGAGGATAGGCTGCCCTGGCTTGTGGCCTGCATCAAGGAGACCCTCCGTATCCGACCGCCGTTCATCTCAGGCCTACCACATGTGGCGGAAGAGGACGACGTCTACAATGGCTATTTCATCCCCAAAGGCTCAATGGTGATTGGTAACGTTTATGGGATTCATATGGACCCTGCTCGGTACCTCAACCCTTCGATGTTCGATCCTGAACGGTTCTACAACGCGGATTCGGGACTGCAGTGGAACAGTGGTCCGGATTCACAGAACCGTGCCAAGTAAGCTCGATTCACCTATGCACGTCCTCGTGCGC